GCATGCATATGTCTTTTTTTTTTTGCTTAACCCCTTCACCTTTTTTCATGCAGCCTCCCAATTCCCCTCCCCTAGGGTAGCAATACTTATACCAGATAAAACAGACTTTAAAACAAAGGCTATAACAAGAGACAAAGAAGGACCCAGCAATTCCACTTCTGGGTATTTATTCAAAGAAACCCAAACCACAAAATCCAAAAGACATATGCATGCCCATGTTCATTGCAGCATTATTTACAATAGCCAAGCTATGGAAGCAACCTAGGTGTCCATCGATAGATGAGTGGATAAAGAAGTGGTGCCTATATGCAATGAAATATGGCTCAGCCGTAAAAAAGAATGAAACCTTGCCATCGGCAACAACATGGATGGGCCCAGAGGGTACTGTGCCCAGTGAAACGAGTCAGACAGGGAAGGACAAATGCTATATGATTTCACTTACGTGGGGAATCTAAAAAACAAAATAAACAAGCAGGCAGAACAGAAACAGACTGATAGATACAGAGAATATTTTGACAGTTGACAGATGAGATGGGGTTGCTGGAAGATGGGTAAAAAAAGGGAAGGGATTGAGTATAAACTGGTAGTTACAGAGTAGTCTTGGGGATATAAAGCAACACACAGGGAATATAGTTGATAATATTATAATAACCATCTGTATGGTGTCAGATGGGTGCTAGTTTTATCAGGGTGACCGCTTCATAAGTTATATAGATGTCTAATCACTGGGTTGTATACCTGAAACTAATATAACATTGTATGCCAACTGTTAATTGAAAAATAAATAAACAAACAAAAAAGAGAGCAGTAGGAAAAAGCATGAACTTTCAGGTCAGACAGACTTGGTTCAATCCTGATTGCTGCTTACAGTCTGAGTGGTCTCAGCAATGTTACTAAACCTCTCTGTTTCCCAGCTCATCCATAAATGAGGGTCACCATGACACCCACCTCAGGGGTTATTGAGAGGGTTAAATGAGATAATACAAGGTGCTTGGTAGAGCGTCAGGCAAATGCTAAGTGCTGGATAATGTTTGCTGGGTTCCATTGTTGGCCCCACCGCTTGCTCCAACGTGAACTCAACTTCTTTGTATGTTGGTTTTCTCGGGCGTAAAGTGAGGCTATCTGGGTGCTCACTGCACAGGGCTTTGGGGGCAACCATCAGCATCACCATCTCCTCCAGAAAGCCCTCCTCCGGGCCTGCCTGTCGCCTGTGCTTGCTTCCACACTAGCATGTGTGACACTGAAATAGGAAGGGTCTGCCTTCCCCTCCCAGGCTTGGAGCTCTCTGGGGCAGGAACAGAGTCGGCAGAGGGTGAAAGATGAGGAGTGAACAGACAGGGGAGCTCTGTTCACTCACTGAGATAGTAACCGATACGCCCTGATGGTGCCTCCTCTCTTTCCCCAGATCTGTGCATCCTGGGAAGATGCATCTGCCCCTGATACTGCTGGCCACGGTGGGCACCTGCCTGGGCCTGCTGATGGCAGCTGCCGCAGGCGATAACCCTGCCCAGCTGGACACGCCCAGCATGCTGTCCACCCACCGGCGCCAGAAGAGGCACTGGATTTGGAACGAGATGCACATTGACGAAGAGAAAAACAACTCGCTGCCCCATCACGTGGGCAAGGTAAGGCTCAGGCCCACAGCAGCAGAAGCCCACCGTGCTGCTGGTGGTGGTGGTAAAGATGGTGGTAGTTGTCAGGGCGGGGGTGACAGTTGTGAGGGCAACGGTGCTGGTGGCAGAGGTGATGGGCCGGTAGATGTCGTGGTGGCGGGTGATAATGAAGGGAAGACGATGCGGCCATAATGGTGGTGATGACAGTGGTGGTGATGACGGTGATGGTACAGAGGAAGGTGGTCATGGTGGTAGTGATCCTGGTAATGGTGATAATGGTGATGAGGAGGGGGAGTGGGTGGTAGTGGTGATGGTGATTGTGGAGGTGACGGTGGCAGTGACGCGGTGGTGTTGATAGAAAGGGAAAGTCGGTGGTGGTGGTGGTGACCATGACATTGATGATGGGAGTGGTGATGTTGTTAGTGATGTGGTTGTGGTAGATATGATGGTGAACACTATGGTTTATTCTCTCCCAGACCTTGGTCTGTGGACCAAATATCATTGGTGGAAGGGCCACCCCATTCAAAGGCTGGGAAGACCAGTTCAGGGCTTAGGGCAGAAGCAGCCAAGCCTCCCATAAAGTTTTCCCATCTGAGAGGTCTGGAAAACCTGAGCAGCCTTCTACCAAACTGTGCTGGTGGTAAAGTTAATGGTCCAGACCATAGTTTGCCAACCCTGGTCTAGGCCTTTGAACTTCCTCAAAAAACACTTTCTTTCAGACGACCCCTCCCTAGTTTTCTGTCACCCTACACAACCCTCCAGCTTCTAGAATACCCACAAGGTACCTGACACCAGCCTGCCCTCTAGGGCTGCTACCCCCACTTCCTTCCTCTTTAAATTGTGTTCATCCCCAGTCACCTTCCTAGGGCTCAGAGTGAAGACTGAACTGTCTTACTGTGTGTCACATCGTTATTGATGTGAAGACCAACCATTCTAATTCAAAAGAATAGCTCTAGTGGTAGAATTTCACACACAGTGACAGGTAGATGCACTGGGTATTTTGAGAGTTTTCAGCGAGGAAAAAAATATTTCTTTCAAGTGCGTAAAATCTCACCATGTCCGTTTCTTGGAATCTAAACATGGTTGGCTACAGAAATAAGAGATCAAGGCGCTGACAAGAAGATGTATGGTGCCACACATGGGGCAAGGCTCTGGAGAGACCACAGTGGGCAAAGATAACACTGTCCCCATCCTGGTGCAGCTTGTGGTCTAAAATAGGGGCTGGCAGAACTGGCCCACCACCTAAGTTTGTAAACACAGATTTATTGGGACAGACACATCCACGATTTACACATTGCCGCGGTTGCTTTCATGCTACGATGGCATATTTGAGTAGCTGTGACAAAGACCATGTGACCTACAAAGTTGAAAATATTTACTATCTGGCTTTTACAGAAACAGTTTGCCCAACCTAGTCTAGAAGGATAGCAGACATTAGACAAAGAACTCCGCAGACAGCAGTGATGGAGGAGCCCTGTGGTTACAGAGAAACAGACTGGAGAGGACCCTTGGTGGAGGGGGGTCCAGCCTGGCCTCACATCAGATATGCCCCAGCAGCTGGCAGAACACACTCAGCCCCGCCAACAGCCAGCTGACTGTGCCCATGGGCTCCTCTGACTCCCAAGAGTGACTGGGAAGTTTAAATCCCTCAGGTTGGCTACTCAAGGGGGAAAGACGCTTGCCCAGGACAGAGCCCTAGGAGGACATGGGCCCAGGAAAGCATAGGGTTCCTGGAGCCCGACAGGAATATGAACACTGTCATAGGGGAAAATTCCATCAACCTGCCCACGTCCGTTGTAATGGGATAATTGTGCCATGAATCAGCACTGAAGAGAGTGGCCAGTCCCAAGGAAATCTGCAGGGTGAGTCAGAGAGAATCAGCAGAGAGCAGGGGACACCTGTGTCACATACAGCCTGACACGACAGCCCCCGAAGGGATCATCCTAGGGTCTTCAGCAGCAGGAAGAGAGTCAGGCCTGCCGTCATCGGCCATCAGTGTTTACTGGGTACCTGGAATTGGGCTGGGGGACAGAGGAGCCACATGCTGCCCCCAGCCCAGATAGAAACAAGAGTGCATGGGAGTGATAAGGACAGGGCTCCAAGGATCACCCCCTGGCTCCCAAAGATGTCATCTGAGGGAAGGAAGTCCCTGTTTATCAAGGCCAGAGCACAGAGCCACTGTTTACAAAGCTGGCTGGACAATGGGAGTGAGCCCCGGGCCAACTCCAGGATCCACAAATATGGGTCAGCATGGCTTTGGGCATTAAGACGTTATGTCCAAGCTCTCTTTAAAATATGTTTCTACTGCCCAGCCGGGCGTGGCTCAGCGGTTGAGCGTTGACCTGGGATCCAGGCGATCAGGGTTCGATTCCTGGTCAGGGCACATACCCGAGTTGCAGGCTCGATCAATGACTCTCTTATCATTGATGTTTCTATCTCTCTCTCTCCCTCTCCTTCCCTCTCTCTGAAATCAATAAAGATATATTTTTAAAAAATAAAAATTAAAAATAAAATATGTTTCTATTGATTTTAGAGCGAGAGAGGAGAAGGGAGAGGGGGAGGGAGAGAGAGAAACACCGATCAGCTGCGTCCAGCGCTCCCCTTACTGGGGACTGAGCAGGCAAGCCGGCCATGTGCCCCGACTGGGAATGAAACCTGTGGCCTGTCGGTGCATGGGACAATGCCCTACCAACTGAGTCACACTGGCCAGGGCTATAGTGATCATTTTTAAAGATAAGGGCTCCCCAAAATCCATAACCTCAGTCTAATTTGGGGAAAAATGTCAGACAGATTCCCACAGAGGGCATCCTACACCAGGAGACCTCCAAGCGGTCACGGTCATCAAAAACACTGAAAGTCTGAGCACCTGTCACAGCCCAGAAGAGCTTAAAGAAACGTGGTGACCAGATGTAATGTGGTGGCCCTGATGGGATCCAAGAACAGAAAAAGGGCATTAAGTAAAAACTAAAAAAATCTGCATAAACGATGGACTTAGGGCAATAATAATGTATCAAGATTAGTCCATTAAGCATAACAAAGGTACCAGACCAATGCAAGGTGTTAACAATGAAGGAAATAGGGAGCAGGAAGCATGAGGACTTTCTGTACTATCTTCTCAACTTTTCTAGAAATCTAATACTATGCTAAAAAATAAAGTCTACTTAAGAAAAGTTGGGAGAAAGGAAAACAAATTTATATTCAAGTGAATTCTTACTCAGAATTCTAATAGACGAAATCAAAACTGACTCGTTCCCCCTCACTGTTCTTAACCTCGTGGATCCCAACACGCCCACTCAGAACCAAGTGTGGAGCTACCATCTTACCCTAACCCTGAGCAACTCACACAGCGCCCCAGACTGTCCCTTCAGGCCACAGGCTGCAGAGCCTCACTGTCCATCAGATGACTCGGCCTCTGGGCCTTAGGACCTCCCATGGGGTCCCACCTGCCTGTCCCTGCACACGGCAGCCCCGCTCCAGGAAGCTCTGCCCCCTCCAGCTGCAGCCCTGCCTCTCGCCCTCC